TTTTTTCTTTAAGAATTTTTTTTGAAATTCTCTCTTCCTCTCTCTCTCTCTCACTCTCTCTCTCTCTCTCGTATGAAGAAAACTGGCGAAAAATTTTTATTCATTTGTAAATATCGTAGTTGATTCTCTAAGAAATTTTCTCCCTCTGAGAGTAATTCTCTTTGAAATAATTCTCTTTTTTCTTTAAGAATTTTTTTTGAAATTCTCTCTTCCTCTCTCTCTCTCTCTCTCGTATGAAGAAAGCTGGCGAAGAATTTTTATTCATTTGTAAATATCGTAGTTGATTCTCTAAGAAATTTTCTCCCTCTGAGAGTAATTCTCTTTGAAATAATTCTCTTTTTTCTTTAAGAATTTTTTTTGAAATTCTCTCTTCCTCTCTCTCTCTTTCTCTCTCTCTCTCTCGTATGAAGAAAACTGGCGAAGAATTTTTATTCATTTGTAGATATCGTAGTTGATTCTCTAAGAAATTTTCTCTCTAAGAGTAATTCTCTTTGAAATAATTCTTTTTTTTTTCTTTAAGAATAATTTTCTTTGAAATTCTCTCTCTCTTTCTCTCGTATGAGGAGAGCTGGCGAAGAATTTTTGTTCATTTGTAATTCTCTAAATTTTTGAACTAAATTTTCAATTCTTTAATTAAATGTTTAATTCTATGAATTTTTGCTTAATTCATTGACGAATTCATTTTCGAGCGTTTGAAATTACCAAAAATTCGAAAGTTTGACGCCAAATGAGAGGCATGTAACAAATTAAGGACGCATTCAATCTTTTGTTATATTTGTTCAATATGTTGTAATGTATTCGAAGACGAATTCAAAGACTCAAACAGTTAAGAACCAACGCTGCGTAAACAGAATATTTCTTATATTGTAAAATTATATTACCTATATCTTTTTACATCGGAGGAAAGGAAGTTTCTATGATTTACTTAATGTTTTCTTCAACGTTATGTTTTTCATCTCGGTTCTATAATTTCCTGGAATTTAAAGAACTTGCGGTATTTCTAATTTTATTTAATAGACTAAGAATTTAAGAATTTATATAATTTAACCTGATCTCTATTTAACCTGAATTTCTCTCGCGGGTATAAAAGAATGTAATTTATGTAACACGAAATTAACAAACATCAAACTCGTAACGGTAAATTTATAATTTTCGAAAATTTTATTCCAAAAAAGGACATTTAGAAATTGAAAGTGATAATAAATAATCTCTTTAGTTGTACAGGCGAGTTACGAATTTTTTTCATTTCAAAGATTTTCTCCTTTACGAGAAAGTAATTTCATTCAATCTTTTCAAAGCTAAAATTCCCTCATCTTCAGCTTTATTTAATTTCGTTTGTACGCGCCGTTGTGCACGACGTGAGCATTTTTTATCTGGCAAAATATTTGCACAAATGCTGCGTATCTTTCTTATAATTTTCACTCGAGAAACAAGTCGCCACGAAATTCATTGAATTCATAATTAATTACCTTCACGAATCATTGAACTTGTCTGCACATGTAATTACAGGCTTGAGAAGTTAATTGGTCAAGCAACGTCGAGCCAGCCACTTGACGTTTCGACAGGTTTCAAATTGATCGCGTAGCGAAAATGAAACAAAGATCTATCGAGAGAGTATCTAACGTGGAAAAGATCTCGCAACATCGATTACCATAAATTTGAATTGGATCTGATCTTTCGCGCCTTAATTACAAGGCCAAACCGTACCAGCCGACTATTGGCGAACGTTGGCAAATAAAACCGTCTTTCCACATTTCCCCCCCCTCCCCTTCCTTTCGATCATCCGACCACGCTAGAACGAAGAAAGTCATCAAGAGATAGCGTCTATAAATTTTATAACGATCCGATGCTTCGAGTTACGAGCAAATTTGCCAGTCATCCACGTCTTGCCCGAGTCGTGTTAGCCGAGTCTTCCTCGAATCGAGATTCTAATCGACGTTCTCTCGTGTAATCATGCCTGCTCTTACTCTAATTAAGTGGCTACCGCTTCTCGCTATCATTCCCATCCTCTTCCTCGTCGTTTTTCTTCCGTCGTCGTCGTCGTCGTCGTCGAGCAATGTTCACCGTTCGACGATTTACGGTTTTTCTTGTTTTCCTCTGTCGTATGAATGATTCTTACTTTGTAAGCTGGTGCTTTCTGCCGAATGTACAGGGTGCCCGATATCTTCTCGTTCAAATTGTCGCAAATGTTCAAGTGTTTTCTGTAGGTAAAGATACAAGGCATTCTACTATTCTTTGTCATATGAAACGTGGAGGAATGAGAGTTATTAATTTATTAAGGCTCTCTCTCTGATGAGAGTTAACTTATTGAGGATTGACGAATTAAACTGTGCAACATTTCATTCGTAATTAATTCATGTTTTCTATTTTTTTAATATTAAAGAACATTTCCCTTTGTACCTTTCTATCTTTACAGAGATCTCTGTAATTTCGTGCAATTTCGAAAAATTGAAGTATTTCACTATCTTCCAACCTTTCCAAGCTTCCGAGCCGCTTGAGCTTGCACGTTCAAATTTTTATTTTCAACCACCTCAGAGAAAGAAAGAAACTATAATGTACAAATTATTATTAATTAATTATACATAAAATTTATACGAAATGAATTTATTGCGTGTAGAAAGAGATTGAATCGTAAAGAATTTTATTCTATATTATAAATAAATTTATTCTATATTATAAATTTTAATTAAAAATATTCGTGGATCTTACAGAATGTATTTTGAACAGAAATCTGAATATTTGAAGATATTCGAACACCCTGTAGATGGGTGTGTTTAGTCGTGAAACGGACTTCTTCTTGCAACAATTTCAGGTAATATGTAGTTTTGTATTGATGATGAGCAGCACGTCGATGATTATTGCTAGATAATCCCTTTTTCTAAACGCACGATTTCTTTGGAGATTTTTTTCGTTATGTAATGAGCATGTTTGTACTATAAATGAATCGAAGAAGTTGCGAATTAAATAAACTGGTTAGAAAATGGAATATTTAATTTCTTCATGCAGCAGTTTTTCCGGATAAGATATGCCGGATAGTCATTTGCGTTATATTATTAAGTAACGCGGTCATTTGAGGTTTGAAAAATCTGCAAAAAAGTATATAAAATGGACCAATACACTGTTAGATGTAGCAGAAGAAACAAATTCCTATCATACTGTTCAATATAAAAAAAATTCTATTTAAGTTCCATTTTTTTTTTTTTTAACATTAATAAAATTCTATTAAATACAAATAAATTTAAATTAAATTTCTACTAAATGCAATTTTAATAAATTTCAATTTTTAAATTTAAAATTCCTTTAAATCCACGCCGTATTTTTAGAGTCTCTCCCGCGAAAGTGCAGCTGATGCGTGCGATCTTGCAACGTAGATTGATAGAACGTGTTACACATTTTATCAATTGCAGAGAATCTAACAGAGAATGCGTATGTATATACCTCTGCTCTGACGCGTATATGATGCTGATGGTTAAATGGGAATTGCTAAATTATCGGTCAGAGGCAAGGAAACAAGGCTGGTAATAAGTACTTTCTCTTATTCACACGAAAGCTCATTGGTATGCTCGAGTCGAACAAACGCCGTGCCTTTGGAACGGCGGACAGTGTGCCGTAATATTAACGAATAATTACCGTGATCGTTGTTTTGTTAACGATCTAACGGTAACCCGCGTTATTTGACTTCGTTTGACTCCACTTGACTCGATG